TTGCTTGTGTGATTTTGGGATGTGTGGGATATTATTATATTGTGATTATTTATGCATTTCAGTGCCTTACTTTATCAGTTCAGTATGTTGTGATCCCAGAGTGTCACAAGCTGCTCCTGAAGGATGTTATCTCTCAATAAGTTCTCAACTTGCCTGGTAAATCAGTGGTAGAAAACATGGGGACAATGCAGCAGGAAAGGGGGCAGAAATTGTTTCAACAGCACAGCTCCAGTATTTTGTAGGCAGTTTGCTTCAGCTTGCTTTTAAGGCTTCTGACCCCTAAAAACATGAAGGGCCTTTAACATGTCATCTGAAAGTCTCCACTTGAGCTTATCTCCCTAATCACAACAAGACAACAAATGGGAATTCCAGCCCTGTGCTTGTTTTCTTGCTTTTTCTCCTGCTTGTGGTCTCCAGCTGTGGTCCCCGGAGCAAAGCTAAGTCTCTGACCTGTGCAGTTCATGTGTTGGGTGGAGGTTTGGGAGGCAGAACTTAATTACTGAGAAGCACGGAGAGAGCTGCGTCACTGCTTCTGTTTGTTTGCTAACAGGGTGCTTCCCAATGAATTAAAATCCCTCTGAGGACAATTTGGTGGATGTGATTGAGTGCTGTCTGGGGTGTGCTGGTCTCTGAACAATCTCTGCCTTGGATTCTGGCCAAAGCAGCGATCAGAGAAAGGCTGCAGCTGGACAAGGAGCCCAGGGGTTATTGAATCACTCCCGCTAACTCCCAGCAACACATTAAACCATTTCCTGTTTGATGCTCCCCTGAGTCGAGTTTACCTATGATGGGTATTTAGGCTGTGAAGTTTCTTCCAAGCTGTCAAGAAGCAGCACTGCCAGCAGGGAGCTCCATGCAGCGGTGCCTCTCCTTCCCTGGCTCTCATCTGGGGTTGTGCTTCAGGCTGAGGTTTCTCTACAAGGGGAAATCCAGTGGTGAAGTGCTGTGCTTGGCCTGAACTTGTTTGAGGATTTGAAGGGGAGAGCACCACCTGCTGATACCTCACTGTGGCTTTTCTATCCATCACCCCAGCACTGGCTCCAACCCCTCCTAACTGTGGGTCTGAGTATCTGCAAAGCATCCCATGGACATTGCTTCAATGGTTGGGATGTGCACGTGCTGCTTATGTGTGTGCAGAGACTTGATAGGGTGAAAGAGCTCCTGATAGGTGGTATTACCAGGGAGGAAAGCATCTCCTCATCTTAGCATAAAGGCAAAGATGGGCCATAGGGTGTTCTGTGGCCTGTTTAGTGCTCGTGGAGGGGTTTTTCTCCAAGAGCCCTTTTACTTGTATCAGGCTGTCCAAAGCCCTCTGCAGGCTGCTCCCTTATGTGTGTCTATGGGCTGTGAGCTGGTGCCCAGCCTGCACCCCTAGCTGCTCACCCTGTGCTGCAGAAGTCATGCTCGACAGCTTGTGTAGGTGAACATTGTGAAATAGACTTCTTGGATGAAAAGTAAGGAGATTTTGGATGCGCGCTGACAGCTTTTATTGCTGCTTGCTGTACATGTGCTAGAAGAAAAAGAGACCTTGGCTCCAGAGCAGATTTGTCACAGAATTATCTGCTGGTTTCCCCCTGCTGATGTCCAACAGACTAAAAGGCTGAAATAGCTCTTTGCAGAGCTGCTAAGACTTGGGCATTTGCATCATGTGTTGGAAATGGTCTGTGCAAATAGCAGAACGTGTGGCTCTACTCCATAAGAAGCTTATCCTCTGCTTGAAAGTCCATTGGCCTTTGCCTGGCCCCTGGGGAGTAACTGGGATAGCAGGCACTTGCCGGTAGATCTTTGTGCCCAGCTTACACCGAAGGAAGGACAAGGATCTGTTCCAGAAGCTGAATGGAACAGACAGGCTCCTAAAGAGAGTAGCATTAATAGGTTGAGGGATGTATCGCATGGAGAGCAAACATGAATGGTAAATTAGAGTTGTGGGTGTGAGCAGCCACTGCTCAGCCTCAAAGTGGGACTTTCAGTGAGGTCCTCCCTTCCTATTGCCTTTAGACAGGGCTGGCCCATCTCTTTCCTCATCAACTTCTCAATCCCAGCTTTGCTCTGGCCACTCTAATGCTCCATCCCAGCAGCCCGGTGCTGATGGTGTGCTGAGCCGTACCCTGCTATTTGCTCAGCGTTTGCCCTCGTGCTTTTTTCCCTTTGCCCCGCACTGCCTCAGCTAATGAGGTTATTGTGCAGCCAGAAGAGGCGTGCGCTCGCTTTTGTGCCTGGCTGCAGCTCGGAATGGAGATACTCCTGACAGTGCCAGATGGTGAGCAGGGAAAGGGACTGCAGCTCTGCCCCCTCCCAGGAAAACAGCCTGGTGGGAGCGTGCCCTCCCCAGCACTGAGTTTCTGGGGTCTGCAGGGGAGATGAGGCACTGCTGGGCAGGCAGAACACGCCAGGCTGCAGCACCGAGTCTGGGCTTTGTTGTGCCTCCAATCCTATGGTAATAATCCTTACATAAACCTAGCCAGAAGCATAGCATTAATATTTTAAAAATGACATTTAAGGTATTGAATATACACCGCGTTCTCCAGAAGAATATCTGTGTGTGTGCGTGTGCACACTTGAGGCTTTGTTTTGCTTTTATAGTGGATGGCTGTGTGTATGTATTTTACTCGGGGTATTTGTGCTATAATAAGAACGGGGAGGGAGCAGGAAAATACTGCTCTGTTTATATTCTCTGCTGTCAGCGGTGGAGCTGTATGGTTTAGATTCACATCCTCTGAAGCACTCTGATTTCCAGCAAACAACTGCCTTCCCCTCACCCAGAGACCTTGCAGGAGGGTTGCTGAGCCTCTCCTCCAGCCCTCCCCTGGAACCTGGCCCTGGTAACGTGGCACGCTCCATACCCAGCATGCAAACAAGTTGATATGCTAAAGTTCAAAGGGACAACCTTGGAAAATGTCAGAGCAGCCGCTCTGCACCGTTGTTCTGCTGCTCTGATCACAAAAAGGAGCTGAGAGTGCTGTAATTTGCAGGCCAGGGGCAGGGGAGGGACGCAGCAGTGTCTCTGTATGTGTCTGTGTCCCTCCTGAGCTTCTTTGACACTTTTCCTGGTTCCTTTCACCTCTGTGAGCCTTTGGAGACACTGATGCGGAGCTGAACCTGAAATGTTACTGCTCATCCATAATTTTTATAAATCTCAGATGTAACACATCTCTTCTTTCCTCCCTGAATTTTTATGTGTTTAGATTTTGTGACAGGGGTGTTTTTGTGTCACTTCTCCCTTATTTTTTCCTGTCTCTCCCAGCCCTGAAACAGTCAGCAGCGATGCCCTTTCCTGTCTCTTGATATAGGCCTCCAGGGACAGCTTCTGCCCATCCATCTCCTGTGTGCCACACCAGCACTGAGTCAGGGACATGCTGGAAAAGCACTAGGTCTGAACCTGCCCTTTGATATAAGCGGACATTATGCATTTTTAATAGATGTAGAGCTCAGTGAAACCCTTAGTACTAGCTGAATTGGCACAAAATTCCCAGGCAAATAGTCTTTGGAGCTGATGTCTCCCCAGGTACCTTGCAGAAAATGAGCCCAAGGACACAAAAACGCAGCGTTCTCTTTGATTTCAGGAGCTGGCTCATTTTGTAGAGGATATGGCTGAGCAGAAGGCACACAATGGTGGTCCCCTGTGCAGTTTCTACCCAGTGAAGGATTCTGGATTGGCCATCCCAGAGATGTTTCTCATTCACCTGCAGAGCAGGTGTAGCATGAGAGGAGAGGCTGTTGCACAGCGCCTTCCTTTAAGGCGTCTCCCTCCATCTCCAGCACTGGCCTGCAGTTGGCCAGCAGACATCCCTGTGCCCTGGCAGCCCTTTTGGTACCCCCAAATGAAACGCCTGATGGAAGTGATACAAACAACTGGTGAAAATCTGTTTTCACCAAGAGGCTGTTCCATGATACAGAACTCCTCCCTCTGAGTACTGATTCTTTTTGCAGAAACTTGAAGGCATTTTCTTTTTGTCGTTCCCCTTTGGTAAAGTGCAAACAAATCTCTCTATACCTACATGTTACCATGGCACTGTAACCTTGCCAGATGGGAAAGAGGGAGCAGTAAGGCTGTAGGTCTGTGCACATCTACTGTGCGACTGGTAGCCAGGAGGTGATGCTGGAGTGTGGTGAGAGCTGGAAGCAGGTGGGCAGGCAGCAGTGGTGGGGCAGCAAGAGGTAATTCACCCCCAACCTCAGGGCTGGATGTTGGCTCGTGATAAGCTGCCTAGCTGTGAGTGTGGCATTCTGAGGCATGTGTACTGTGGTGTTCAGCCATCTCAGAAATCTGCTGCTGAGCATGAGTCAGCCCTCCCTGGGTTAACTGTTAAAGAGCAGTATCAAGAGATATGATCTTATTCTGAGCCCTTCAAGCCCTTTCTTCCCTAAGTGGCCCCAGAAGAGGCAGGGAATGTCCCTAAGGTCCCACTGCACTGTCACAGCTCACAGAAGAGGGCTGTGACTCCCAGCTCCCACTGGGCATGGTGCAATTGTCCTCACATCAAGGAGTGTGGAAAGACACGATGCTAAATAAGAGGAGTTGTGTGACATCTAAGGAGCATGGCCTACTGGTTCAGAGCCCAGGTGGACTCAGCCTGGGAGCCATCAGTCTGAGTCTGTGTGCTATAAGGCACGAAGGGTGCTGCATAAAGCAGAGCTCAGCCTGCCTTCCTGACATCCTTGCTTTCCATCTAGCATAAGTCACCAATTTCAGATGGTGCTGAGCCTCCTCACCAGCAAGACCCATCCCTCGCACCCATCTCTTCCAGCCTCATGCTTCCCTCTTGCTGCTGAGCTGGGAGAGCATCTCCCCTCTCCTGTGGCAGTAAACTCACTGGGTGATGCTGTGAGTGAGGAGAGCAACAACCAATTCCTTAAGGGGCCATCTCAGAGCCTTCCCTGGCTTTTCCTCCTGTCGCAGGGAGAAGTGCCCCTGCCGAAGTGGAATAAATTGGTACAGACCATTAGCAGCGCAAGTCGTCCTCCGGCAGGGGGGAGGGAGGGAGCTGTCGGCACTGCTCTGGATACAAAGCAGTCAGCCACGCTCTGGCTCCTTCCTCCCGCATCCTGTTGGCCTCCTCCTCCCTGTTTGCACGCTCCCTCCCTCCCATGCTCGCTCCCTCTCTCATTCTTTCCTTCTCTTACCGCCACGCTGCAGAGAGGCAGACCTGGGGAACTGATGGTCCACGGAGGAGGAAGGAGCTTTCCCCTGCATTTCTTGGACAGTGAAACGGAGAGGCAGAGAGATGATGAAGGAGCGTTTTGGTTGCTGCCTGGATTAAAAAAGAATACATAAAAAAAAAAAAAAATCCGGACCCAACAAACAAGGAAAAAGGGAGGGGAGAAAGAGGAGGAGGTTGCTGAAGGGAGCCCACTCCGGTGGGTGAACAACTGCTTTGAATCGTGCCTCTGTTCCCAGGGATTAAAGCATGAATGGGAGCAGCCTCCCAGCCACGATGGAGAGAGAAGGCGGTTCAGGCTGTGGGAATAAGGTAACTCTTGCCTCTCACAGATATTGCATGGCTGAGCTGAGCAGGACAGAGATCCTTTATGCACGGGGCTGGGGTGTGTGTATGTGTGCATGCGATGGGCAGCAAGTGGGAGGATGCAAGAAAGACTCCAAGCAATTTTTCTATCTCTTTCAGTGTATTTAAAGGATGCAGAAAGGGTCTCGGGGGCTGCAGTGCTGGAGATAACTTTGCCTTCCTTTCTCAGGCTGGGTGCCTTAGGACATCATGCTGCCTTGCCTGAGGAAGGCTGGCTAGGAAAAAATGCCCATGTCTTGCCTCCAGGAGCACTGTGCTCCCAGCCTTGCCCTCCAAGCCCTGCACCTGCTCTGGGGCTCCCCTCGTGGGCTTGTGTGTGGCTCTCCAGGATCTGCTTGGTGACTTCAATGGCCCTGTGCCCCCCAGAGCCCACCCTTGTACCCTGCAGAGTGACAGGAGGGAGGTGAGAGGCGATCAGAGTTGCTTTTCTCTTTCCCGGGTCATTCTCTGCCTTTTTTCTTTTTTTTTTTTTTTTTTTTCCAACAGAAAGAAAAGGGATTTAGGAGAAGGGGGAACTGAAATCCCTTTCATTCGTGCCAGCAGTGGTGAGAGCCAACTTTAAGGCTGCTTAAAGGGAAGAGCTTTCCAAGTGCTTTTTTTTTTTTTTTTTTTTTTTTTTTTGAGAGAGAGGAGATGGCTGTGCAATGCTTTGCCAGCTGAGGAGTGATCTCTGTGTCATGTTATGCTGTGGGAGTGGACTGGGATGAAAAATAGTGATTAACAGGCAGAAAGTCCATAGCAATCGATGAAGCAGTCCATAAATGATGCTTTCCCTTTTCCTGCTGAGCTTCCTTCTGACATAATTCCTGGATCTGTGACCCTAAAGGTCCTCATTTCTCTCAGCCAGACCAGAAAGTAGAATTTCAAACCGTGCTGGGAGGTGGCTCAGCCCAGATGTTGTTTGGGAAAGCACAGAGGACGTCCTGATGTCTCCAGCTGTGGATACCATACCCACTTCATTTCAACCCTTGCATAACTTTGAGGGCTTCTTGAGGGGTCTTCAGCTTGGCATGGGGTTAGGAGGAATTAGCTTTCATTACTTTGCTAGCGGCGTGTCACAGATCATGTGCACACAGTGCAGAAAGTCACGAGCCCTGATGAGCTGTCAGTTGGCTTAAGAGCTTGCCTACACCTGTAAGGAGCTCACAGCCTGATGTTTGCTATGGACTCAGTGGCTGTGCAGTCTGTTTGTAGGTTTAGTGTGCTTGTCTGACATGTGTCCCTGAACATCTACAGCGAGGTGATGCCAGCTTGTGAAAACACAATCATATAGACTCATAGAATCACAAGGTTGGAAAGGACCTACAAGACATCTAGGGTTGTGTGCATGCTTGCACATGAGTACTGAAGATGGGTTGTGAAAATGTGGACTGAAGCTTCCAGACGTCCTTTTGTTTTGTGAATAATTCTTGCTTATGTGAGGACATTCTCCTGAGCCATCGAGGTGCATCTTGCTGCCTTGTGATTAGTGCTTCCCTGTATGCAAATATCTGATGGGAGTGATTGACCAGGATTTGGCTTGAGAAGATGGTTGGGTAACCTGACAGGGTCAGGGTGAAAAAGGTGGGAGAAAATGGAGGCATGGGTTGAGTAGGGGAAGGTAAAATAACTTTCTGTATGTGGCACCCAACTCTTCTATGTATCAGCCTTAAAGCAATGAGTAAGATGGAAGATATTCTGAAGATGGGATGGAGTGATAAGGCTGTGAAAAAGAAAGATACTGTGTCAGAAGGGCTAACCTTTGGTATGAGCTGAGAGCCTTGGAAGTGGGCAAAGCTGGCAGGGCAGTGGATGCTGCAAGAAGGGGAAGGCAGCTGAGCAACATCTTTGTTTTCCTGGTTGAATATGTTGGGGTGTATGAGAGAGGGGAGAAATGCCATGAGTGACACTGAGTGCTTTCCAATCTCATGCACCTGAGTTCTGAATCTCTCTTGCCTTCCGTAGGCATTCCAGGTGAAGCACTCAGCTCTTCGGCACAGCGCTGGGAACCTGGGGTCAGTAGTGAGGTGGTAACTGTCCTGATGAGAGCTGCTGCTTCTGAGCTGGGCTGACTTGAGGAAGGTGCAAGAGATGGGATGCAAACCTCGTGTCATTTCTGTTCTCTAAGATGGCAAAGTGAGAGGGCATCCAAAGGAAAGCTCTCCCTCTACATGCATGTGTTGGCACAGAAGCTTCCATGGGTGTTAATTGGCATCTCGATGTTTCCTGACCCATTGAGGTGGCTCATAGTGGAGAGTAGATGCTGCCTTTCTAAGGGGGAACAGTGCCCCGAGCCAGGGACAGGACTGTCACCTTGAATGTGTCACAGGCCTGGCATGGTGCCACTGGGGTCTGTGATTCTGTTCTCCTGTGGCTTTGCCCTCATCAGGACAGTGTCTCAGCTCCAGTGGTGCAGGGATTTTCTCTCCTCCCCTGACCTGCAGCGTTGTTCTGTGTCTTTCTGGTGTGCAGGGCTGTGTCAGATCAGCATCACTCCCCAACACTGCTGACTTCTGGTAAATAATTCCTCTAACAGGGAGATCTGGCCTGAGCTGACCAAGAAACCTTCCAATTGCAGAGTGTGAGCACACTCTCCACTTGTGTAACGCTGGCTGCTCAGCATCACAATAATGCTTTCTGAAAGGAAAGCAGCACGTCTGCCCTTTGAATTTTTTCCAGAACCCTCACATTGCAGCAGTAGAAGTCTTGGGAAGTGAAAAGAACTGTCTTTTAAGGGACATTAGGGCAAATGTTGCAGTTTTTTTTTTTCTAGTGTTTCATGCAGACTTGCCCTTTGCAGTACCTTTGCTCTCTCTTGCCCTTATTTCACTGCTGCCAGTTCAAGAAAGTTGTCCAAAAGCAGTTCATTCTTCAAACAAAAACCAAATAAAAGGGGCAGATGTGAATCCACAGGAAGAAAGGATGCAGTGCTGGGCTGTTCTGCATCGCTCTGCGTTTTGTCTTGCAGGGATGCACAGCATGAGAGGCTGCCTGGGTTCCAGATCTGCCTTATGTCTCCAACTCCCAGGGATGCAGCAGAGTTGGGTCAGCATCCTTCTTGGGGCTGTTGCCCTTTGTGGCTTTCTCACCCCACATTTCTTTATAATTCTCCATTGCCAAGTGCCATGCAGCAGTCTTGAAAATTGGGTGGACCTCTGCTGTATTTTTTGTTCAGACACAAGGCTGGAGGAGCATTTGGTGTGGCCTCAACCCCTCTATGGCAGAAAGTGTCTTCTGGAAGCAATGTCATAGGGAAGGCCCTCTGCAGTATTTTTTTCATAGGTCCTCATTCTCTGTTCTGTGTAATCTTTTATGTTTTACTTGAGGAGGTCCTGAACTGGGATATTCCAGTGATTTGTTTCCAGGATTTGTGGCAAGAGAGGTGGCCTTTGCCAGCTGCAAGGCCTTAAGAGTGAGGATGGATTCTTCCTCTTTCTCCTGCCAAACCCAGCTGCTTGTGTTTGAGTTGGCAAGCTGATGTCAGGACTGGATTCACCTTCCTGAAGCTAATAAGGGCCTGGCTGAGTGGAGATCACAAGGTGTGGCTCATAATTAATCTTAATATCCTGATTAGACACATGGACCACCCCCAAGTACTCTAAGTAACACAGCATATTACTCACTACTGAACATATCCTCCTACATTTTTCTAATGGGAACTCCACACCTCCAAGGAGCTGAAAGATGGGAGAACTGAAGGCAAACAGTTCCCTGTGCTGGCCAGCAGAGCCCAGCTGTGCACTGCTATAGCTCTGTCCCGCAGCTGTAGGCATGCTAATCCATGTCCTTCTGTCTGATATCTTATTTGTGCAAGTGGAATTTGCACATTCTCAGAGGCTCATAAAAATGACTGATGTGCAGAGTTATATAGCCTGTGACTGGAGCTTGCTCCCACATGTAGCTTTGCACGCCTGTGTTTTCCACTCTGCCTTTGTATAGGGAAGTGAGCTCTCTCTGAGATGCACACACCTTGCATGCTCCTGGCCCTGTCCCAGCACCACGGAGCCTTTAAGCAATTTGCCAGCTGCACTGGTACTCAGCAACCCCTCCGGATGATCCATGGGGAGCACAGTGTGATATTCTTGGCAGTGACAGCAGAATAAATAGGAAATGCTCGAGATCCCCTTCCTGCCTGGATCAGAGCTGTTTTCGTCTAGACAGGAGAGGAGCTAACCTTTAGTGCAAGGCTTCCTGCGCTGTTCTGCAGCAGCAGGTGATATGTCAGCACTCAAAGCGTGTGTGGTTGCATCGGTCACTGCTGGCCCAGCTCCAGTCTGTACACTGCCTGCAGTGCTAGCTATTGTTAGCTCCCCAGACGTGGTTTGCTGTGTGCATCTGAAGTGTGGTGTTTAGGTAGGCAGAGGAAATGGTTGTTGGTGGAAGGGGAGCTTGATGCTGACAAGAAAAGGTGAATGTGACTGTACTGAGAGTCTCCTGGCAGAGATATGGGAGTCCAGAAGAAATTCTGAGTGGACCAACCTTTAGAAATGCATACAAGCCCCCAGCTCTGATGCTTCCACAAGGAAGTGATTTATGGCTTTGCATCGTGACTGAAAACTCTCTCTGTCCAGCTCAGGGCTGTTGTGAAGGTGTGTGTGCACTGTGGAGCCCACTGAAGGCAGATGTCTGTTGGGCCCTGCGTTCCTTCTGTGACATCTCCTGGAGACTGGTTATCCTCTCTGAAACAACAACAGCTGGTACGCAGCTCTCACAGTGAGGGAAGCCGAGCTCAGACTCTCTCCTTTCATTCCTGCCTGGTGCAATCCTGACTGGTAGGTTGGGTTGTCAGAGGAAATTGCTCTTCTGCTCTGTCTGGGAGCCCTGTCAAAGCCCAGTAGGTCAGGAACTGAGAGCTGTGGCACAAAGAACGGTGACTGCAGAAAGGTGGGAATCCCTTTGCTTACTGATGTCTGCTTGCATAGATTCAGCTGTGAAGTGACATGGGCAGTGGGAATTCGTCTGAAGCTGCATGTCCACAGCCTCAGCACCAAATCTGCAGCCAGCCTGCTCTCTGGCCTCATGAGCAGTTTGAGTGGGGTGAATGGGGACAGAACCCCAGTTTTACCAGTGCTGCAGCTTGCTGTGGTCAAGGAGAATGAGACACGCTTTGCTTTGTGACAGCGGGCAGGCATGTCTCAGCTGCTTTCCTAAATGCCCTGGCACAGTTTGCCAGATTTGGCACCTGAAAGAGAAGGAAGGTTAATTCAGAAGAAAGACCTCCACTCTGCCTGCTTTTTTTCCCCCCATTCTCTCCCCTCTCCTCCAGCAGCTTCCATACAGCTGGATTGAGACCAAAAGCAAAAGGATGGATGCTGAGGCTCTGCTCTGGATTTCATGAATGGATGAATGTAGAGAGGCAAGTGGGGATTTTGAGGGGATTTGGAAGCCTGCTCCAGGATTTGTCTGGCAAGCAGAGCATTTATAATACTTCCAGCATTACGATAACATAATGTCAGCATGATTCAGGTCCCACTCCTGTTCTTGGCAAATAGGAAGCCCAACTCCTATCACCACCAGGAGGAGAAGGATCCCATTTCTGACAGGTTGTAGTTTTAAATAACCCTACTCTTGTCTCCCATTGGTGTTCCAAAACAAGAGCTGAGATGCTTCTGTGTGCTGCTGTGGACGAGTGGGTCTGGCTGCAGATGCATATGAGAGAGGAGCAGAGCTGCATGAGCGCTGCTGCCATGGAGCAGAGGAACACAAAGTGAGAGAGGAGAGGGTGCCTGGGCCAACTCCCACCTACCCTGGGCTGCTCCATAAATACCAGCGGGGCGCTGAGGCGTTCTGGCTGCACTCCTCGCTTTGTTTTTCCATCTGCTTAGCAGCTTCTAAAGCTAAAGAAGAAATGTGTACTGACACATTTCTGTAACGCAGGTGGGCCTGCAAGGGCCAGGGCTGTGCTGATCGGAGTCTGCAAAGGAAAGTACTTGCTGGAGATCCACTACCAGTGAAGAGCAAAAGGCAGCAAGCGCTGGGGAATGGCATTGCTCTGAGCAGAGTAGGTGATCTGTGATTATTCCATCTGAATTCCATAGACTGTGGCGTGGAAGGTAAATTTGGAGCTGTGCTGAGACACAGCTGGCCTTGCAGTGCTTCTGGGTCATGCTCTGCCATCCCTCCATCCCTGTAGGGATGCAGCTGCAAGCCCAAAGGAAAGGCTGGAGTTTGTGGAGTGTACAGGAGGTGAGTGAAGCTTGCTGTGCCATTAACGAGGTACATTAACCAGATGATGAGAGAGCAGCCTGACAGGGCTGTTAACTCTTGTCCTTTGCTGTAGCAAAGCTGTAAAACCCTCCAAAGGTATCAAAACAGGAGAGCAGCTCTGTGCTGTTCCCTGTTGAGCCCAGGATGAGAAAAGAGCAGTTTTGCAGGAGGGATTTAGCTAGAGGCTGGATGTGGTACCTGGAATGCACTTTGGCACACAAATAAGCTGGTAATTCTTCTAAATAATGCACCTTTTATTGCTGAGGGGCAGATAGAGGAGGAGGCTGTGTCTCTGAAGGAGGCAGCAGGATACATGGGGTCAGCTGCAGTCCTGCAGGCTCCTGCCGGACCCGGGGAGCTGTAGGTTCTTTGGGAGGCAGCTGCTGTGCTCAGATTAGCAAGATGCTTTGAGATAATCCTTCATGCAGTGGTACTGAGAGCAGCCTCTTCCTTGAGACACAGCTTTCACCTTTCCAGTGGCGTGTTTTGCTTCTAATTTGGGAGACAGAAGTGAAATCTGGCACAGGCTTGCCATCCTTGAAAGGCTGCCAGCCAGTTTATGGCACTCTCTGCCTGTATGCTCCCCACAGCCTCAGTGAGACACAGGAATTGCTCACCCTTCCCATCTTTAGCTCTTGCAGTAGCTGCAGGAATGCAGTAATCCCCTGGGGGAGCCTGACTTTGGCTGTGTGACACAGGCTTGTAGGGATATTCAAAGGTTTATTCGCATGGGCTCTGATCCACTTGTATGAATGGCAGCTGGTTATGGAGATTAGAGCTACAGAAGTCACTATTAATGAATAATTTTCCCCACTGTCTTCCTTATAATAATGGTGTGTCCACAAGTCGTGACTTTAATGCATTCATTTTCAGTGAGTGTGCAGGTCCTGGAATGCCCTTCTGTAGGATTTGGAAGTACTTGTTCCTCTCTATTGGCTTCTTCTTCATTCCAGGCGTGATTTTTATCAGGGAAGAGTTGCAAGAACAAAAATTTGGTGCTGTCTCCCAGCTACTGCTCTGCTCCCTGCTTGGAGAATTCAACAGCTGTAAAACTGGTGGTGGCAAAGAATTTGTTACGATCCTCTGAAGCTCTCACCCCGCACATGCACCTCCTTTCTTCCTTCAATTTATCTTTTAATGATGCTGCCAGCATTATTTCTCATCTCTGTCTCGTGCGCTGTGTGCTCTGCCTGGCAGTCCCTTTTGTCTCACCCAGGCATCTTGAACCATACTGCTCTAATGGGGAGAGACTCAGGCTGCTGAAGTTAATAGCTTATCCTGCAGCCTGCGTCATTCCTGCTACAGAGCAGCTGTGGATGATGCAGCCCTTGGTCTGTGGGGGGAAAGGGGCTGTGGTGGAGTGGTGATCCCATTCAGCCTGGGATCAGCCCAAGCACTGGCTGTGTGTGGTGCTGAGCCCTCCTGCATGCAGACAACACTGATTTCTCCCTCTCTGTCTCAAACACTCTTACAGCTCTAGCTCATTTTCAACTGAGCCAAGGAGTTTAGTAAGTTTGCCTTATTCTTGAAGATTAGTCATCTATAACGATGACATTTGCAAGATTTGACAGTTCCAATCAAATGTCAAGGGCTGCACTCGTGCTTCAAGACATTTGTTTAATTTTTAATAAAAAAAAAAGTAAAATCAACCTAATTAAGTGTTGCATGTTGAGATACAGTGTAGGAAAGTGCAGATGTGGCCCAAGTCGCTTGAAGAAGCTTCCAGGATGCCACAGCCTGGGTTGGGCAGGCCTGGAGGGAGCATCGTGTGGTTCTGTGCTGTGCTTGCCAGTACTCCTGCCTCTACTCTGCCCTTGGGCATGGGATGGCCTGCCCCTCTGTCCCTGTGCTTGGTGACGGTTGTAATAATAACGATGTAATTTGCCTGGTTGATTTGCATGCAACATAATTACCACATGATTACAATATTCTTAGAGCAGCCATTACAAAACCCTCTGGTTTCTCCCTAAGGGCTTATCTCGCTCCTCACCTTGCACTTGTGGCCCTGTAAGGCAGTCTGTCTGTCCATCCCTGTCTGCAGATCTCTATACATCACGTTACACCCATGTGCTTTTAACCATTTGCATGTTTGAGATCTTTGATTTGAGACATTCTCTGGTTCATGGGGAGTGTTTTCCTGTGTCCTGGCTGTTCTGGGGACAGGTCGGTGTCTGTCTGAGATGGTCAGGCTTGTGCAGGGGATGGAGATGCTCTTATATATGGCAGGGCTGGCAAGTGGATCAGGGCAGCAGCAGAGGCACTCATGAGGATCAGTCTTCCATAGGAGTTGCTGCTTCGCTCTGCTTTGACTTGTGCTGAGAAACCATTGGCTTAATTCTATCTCAGCTTTTATTTCTCATTCTGCATTTCTCATTCAAATGGAGAAGATCTGTGCTGGGTTTGGCCTTTGGGTGATTCTAAAACTAGCAGAAATGACCTTTCCTGGACATGCACATCAGCCCATCAGATCGGTGAGAGCTGTGCTTTGTCAGCACCTCCAGCATCAGAGTTTGTGCCATTTCCCTATTTAGCCTGTGAACTACTTGAGCCTTGCCATTCTTGTCCAAAAGTAGGCAGCTTATTTTCATCTCACCCTTACAGCAAGCTGCAGTGCAGGTGAGCCAAAATCACTCAGCCACAGGGAAGGCAGTGTCAGATCTGGGCTTGGATTGGAAGCTGGACAAACTGTGGATTTAGCCTTTGCCTTCTGCACTCAGAGTCAAACCGAGAGCCAAATCCTACCTCCTTGGGCAGTGCTGGAATGGCTGTGGGCTGATTGGATTGACACGCAGGTTTGTTTTGCTGGTAGACACAAAGAAATCCTTTCCTTCCAAATGCCTCTCAGCTGACAGATGGGTCACGTTACCCTGACAGCTCCAAGCATGCCGGTTCTCAGGCAAGCAAAGCTTCAGTGCTTGCTTTGGAGAGAAGAGATAGGGGAAGAAGGAAGAGTGCATCATGGAAGAAGCCCTGTGCACTTGCTTTTGGCTGGCACCATGGGGTGAGGGAACCTTCTTGGATCTCAACAGTAACCAGAAATTGAAGGGAGGTAGTTTTAAAATGACCTTCCTGTTTCCAAGGAGAATATTGTGTAGGTTTGTGGCTGCACAAATGGGCTGCAGAACGGCAAGCAACGATTGATTGTGTTGCAAGCTGCTGAATTATAGTTGGGCGTTTGCTTGATCATCCCAGGTCCCTCCCCACCCCCTTTCCCTACTGTAGCCTGAAAGAATCGATGTTAATCCCTCAGTCCCATTAGTGACTTTTGCAGAGGTCACAGGCTGGCGGTCTCTACGTGCTGTTTAACCCCCCCAGCACTGAGCAGGGCTTAGGATTTGAGCTTCATCTCTTTAAAGAAGCTGTCTAATGGGGATGGGAGCTGGGGAATTTGCTTTGCTTTCTACAGTTTGGGGCTGACTTCTAAGTAGAGAGCTGCATTTTTGCAAAATCTGTCCCTCAAAGCTACAGGAGTGAGAAGCTGCAGGAAATGTCATTGAACGGTCCTGTCCCTCCAAGCACTGCTGCTGGGGTAGGAATGTGTTTGTACTGCACTGAGGCAGGCTTTGGTGCTGGAGGGTTTGTCGCTGAGCTACGGAGGACTCTGGAGCAGGGTGCAGCAGCCTGGAAGCTCAGCTCGTTTGTTGCAAGCAGGCGGTGTGCAAGAAGGCAGGAATTTACATGTGGATGTGTAGCACAGAAGCTCTTCGGTTTGAATTACCTGCATGGCTGCTCTTAGTGCCTCTAAAATGCAAAGCAACCAGTGCCAGGCTCCTGCAGCTCCTCACAAGCAGTGCACGTTGGAAGTGGCTCAATGGGGTGGGAGTGCAGATGTGCTCATGGACGAAGCACCTTTAAGATACTTGGTGCTTGCTGCTGAAAAAAGAAGAAAAATGATGGAAATGTAAGCCCTTCTCAATACATTTCAGAGTGTGTGGTGGTGGCCTGCTGCAGTTGGAGAGAGCCAGCATGCTCACCAGCTTCCCAAGGCTTCCTTTTTTTCCCCTCTTTAGCACACTAAAACCAGGTTATTAATATCTCTTTCACGATAAAGCAGGATTATTTTGGGGGGAGGTGGATGGAAGAACTCGCTCATTAAAAGAAAAAGCTGGCAGCCCTGAAGTCACATCCTAGGTGTGGACTTGGTGACGCTAATGGAGGGCTCCATTGTGTCCCCCAGCTGGAAAGTTTGGTGTCAGAGTGGTGTGAGAGGTGACAGGGCCACGTCCAGGGCTGGAATTGAGATCTTACTGCAGGGCCGGCTGGGAGCTACTGTTAGGGCATGTGGCTTGCTGGGCATAGCTCTTAGTGTTTGATGGCCACATCTGTTGGAGGAAGTTTCCAGCATATCTCAGCCACTCTGCACAGCCAGAATCCATCCTGAATTTTGGCAGTACAGAAAGATCTGGGGGTGCAGGTCAGCTGAGCCTTACTTGTTATTCTGACAGATGTTCTGGTCATTTCATCATCCAGCTATGTTATGCATGTTCAGCTTGTTAGGTTTCTTTGGGCAGAGGGAGAATGGCAAGCCCCCAGGGAGCACAGTGTTAGCCTGGCATCTTTGGCTAAATGATTCCATCTTCAGCTCCTGTGAAATCTGCTGAATGGGAGAAGAGGAACCTGTCTATCACAGCCTGACACCTCTGGTTGGTTGCTATCAACCCCTTTGGACAAAGCATAGGCAAAGCCTCTTATGGAGCTTTGGAAATTAGACCAATCATGTTGAAATTGGGTCATCCTTTGTTAATGTCACTTCTAAAAATCCATGGAAGTCAGCAGTGCGCAAAATATTCGGTGTCATGCAGACCATGGAGATGGAAATAGAGTCCAGAGATACGTCTGCTTCTGACAACACTGACGTGGCCTTAGCTGAGCAAAGGGCTATTTTCAGGTATTGCTGTGTCACCAGCTTGGGAAGACTTCATGGAGAAGGACAGCAGGGCTGATGTTGGAGCTCTTTCCTCAGCACACATTCAGCATTC